CACAGCAAAATCTGTCGGTTACTACGTGAACTACTACGTGAACAGCAAGACGATTCGTTGAGAACATAATTCACGGTGAAAGCGCAATTTCAAAGGGCCGCGCTGCGGCTAGACGATACTTAAAATTCCAGGCTTCGAGATCTCGAAGAGGCGGCGCGCACCGCTCGACCGCTCAATTAAACGTGATCTTTTGTTCCCACGGCTTTGGCGGGCCATGGAATCTAGACGCGATCGCGGGGAATTAAAAATGCGAACCTCGTACAGCTACCGGTGGCGGCTTTTTACGAGTGGCCCGAGAGAGAGAGAGGAACGGCTGCGTTATTTTTACGCGACCAGACACGAAATTGAATTTTCCGACCCCTTTCGCCGACGCGCCGTCGCTGCAGAGGGTCCTATTAACCACACGTAGGAACAATGCAACCTAAATAGCTGTACGAGCATGCGAAAGACCGGGACGAGGGAGGCGAGCGGACGACGCGAGAGAATATTGCACCTACCTTGGCCCCGCTTGCTCTTCGGATTTCCCACCGAAGAGGTGGGGTAATTAGAGAATACATACGTGTTTGATCGACATTTCTTGCCCGGCGAATCGTCGGTGCGGATATGAAATGTACCGTGCGGTAAACGTGCGTGGAATAATAAATAAGCGAATAAATGGAATAAATAATGAACTACGCGGAGAAAGCAATTCGATATCAAAAGCACCGACAACGAAATATCTGCCTCGATTAGAGAAGGTGAACAGTCTGTTAAAGAGATTAACGATTGTGAGACGGTGATTCTTGAAAGTGCTTTCGTTTGAAAAACCCACGAAGGACTGAATAGACCTGTCTCACATTGATTGATTCTTCGATAATGATACGGGGCAAGAATTTATGACGATATTAACACGCTATCTGCTAACGCCTTCGTTTCCTCAAATGATTGACGATTTAATTACCGAAAATGAATAAATGTAATTCAAGACGCGCGTATTTTTTTTCTGTTCCTGTTCGTTTTCCTACTCGAGTCGAAATTTTGATGATACTTTGACACTCTCAAGGATAGTTTGCGCCTATTTACACTGAGAAACCCATTTAGCTGACACGAGTAAAATTCTTGTTTGGATATGAGCAAACAAATATTTTGACCGTGAGAACCAAAACATGAACATATGAACATGCTCTGAGCTAAACTTTGGTTTTCACAATCAAAACATTTGTTTGCCTATATCCAAATAAGAAATTTGTTTGAGTAAATTATAAATAAATTATCTCATTAGAACCTATTTTCCTATTTTATCTCCTACTATTGTAACGTTGTTATATCGTAGAATTCAAGATACAAAAGGTAAAAAAATTTTAATACAGAGCTAAAATTTCAACTTGGGCATAAAAGCGATTTTTTAAATGCAAGTGATTGTACTTTACACGTGACTCAACGAGACACGATAGTATCATGATGCCAGTCATCACGATGATGTCGTGAATTTAACGTATTAACGATAATACAGATAATACACATACATATATAATATAATTCGACAAATACAAAACACAAAATAGGTGACTATTTACGCGACTCAGACGCGTTGTCACCTCTCGTTGAAGAAGTCGCCTGGGTCTGAAGACGCCAACGTACGTCTGTGTGTGTGCAAAGATCAATGGCAGCGCTATTGTGCCTTGAGTGCGCGTTATTTCACGGATATGAGAGTGGCGTTTTCGATGTGCTCGCCGGAAATTAATCTTCGTCGCACAATCGCGTCGCCGAGCTCGGGCGCCGCAGCGATTCACATTACACGGTGTGATTTCGAACCACCGCACATCCTCCACCGCATCCTTCATCAACAGCACCCTGTGCGAGAAATAGACAAAGAAGGCGCATTCGTTCAAAGCCGATGAAGTTTCGACGCGACGGCCTGAGAGTAACCCACAATTTTTACCGCTGACGTAACGTCACAGGTATCTCAGGTTCATATCATTAAAAAAAAATGGTAAAAATCGTGACCTTCTGCATTTTTTATCTTTTATGTATTATTGTATTTGCCAAGTCTATTATTTATTATATTTATAGATTGCTTGCCGTAAAAAGAAACATTATACATTTTATAGTATATATAATTTTATAGTATATATGAAACATCATAACTATTTCATAACTAACAGCACTGATATTGTGAAAATCTTCAAGATTTTAAATTTTAATGTAAAATTCTTAAATTTACTCTCAGAAATGTTATTACTTTTCCAACAGTGTACGGGAACTGATATACGTTCTTCTCTCATAAGGATGGAGGTTAACAGAGTAATAGAGAAATAGGAGTGCGGTGTTTTATGCAAAATATAGGAGAGGGTTAAGCGAAAGAAAACGCGTGTAGGCCTCGTAGCACTACCATGTTACTGTCAGGGTTAAGCGGACGACAACACGGGTGTCGTCGCGAACACGACGAGCGTCGACGGGTTTGCGGGAGCAGAACGCGGTCCTCTCTCGGGTCACGATTGCCAGTCCCGGCAGGACGTGCGCGAAAGTGACGGGCGTCAACAATTTCCATATGATAATGACGGTATCCCGGCGCACAAAGGACGCGCCATGCGATTCAACGGCGTATTCCGCGGGTACCTGTTTATTTTGGCGTCTGGCTCGTGAAGCTCACGCAACACGCCTATGTATCGTACATATGCATGCGTGAGTGCGTACGTCGAAACGTGCGCGCCGCTGTCACTCACGCGACACGCGACACGTGTAAACAGTAATTATAATAGCGCGACCCGGCGACGAGACCCGCGCGTCGTCGAGGTCGGAGATTTGCTCTCGGAAATGCGGGGCATAAATTTTGCACGGAGCTCGTTGCTCTGAGGACGAGAAGGGCAAACGTCATCTAAATGTATTCTTTTGTGTCCATGATGTACCGTACGAGGAGAAACATTTCTATTGAAACAATTATAATAATAATGTACTATTGAAATAATAACGGATAATAATTAGTACATACCCAACGAGTCGAAATATATATACATATGCGTATATTTGAACACTATAAACACTTATATACGCTTTTCTATTATTTGTACACCTCTTTTAGATTATCTGATGCATAAATATAACATCTTAAATTAACATTTATTATTTAGGTAGCGAAATGAATGTATAAGAACGTAGTTCTATTTGATAATTTTAAATTGATGAATAACTTCTTAATGTACCACTAAAAATACGACACTAATAAGCAGTACATCCTTAATCTTCAAAGTGACAGAAAAATTAAATGTGCGATATAAAAATAACAGAAAGAATTGAATTGATAAATTGAATGAAAGTTTTCTCCGAATCGGTCTGCTTCAATATTATTGAGTATTATTGAGTATTACTGAGTATTATCGAGACTGGCAGGCGACTGTTATTCCCGTCTGCAATTCGACGCCGCGTGCACCCCCGAATCATCGTAATCGAATTTGCCGAGCAACAGTTGTAAATCATGAGGACCGGCTTGCCCGTGCCATGTGTTTCGAGCGAAAACAGAGAGAGAGAGAGAGAGAGAGAGAGAGGTGGGGGAGAGGGAGAGAAATGGAAAGGTGAAGAATAGGGAGACAAAGAGGAAAAACGAGGGTGCTGCTTGGGGGAGTTATATTCCGGTTTAAGGGTGCTGCAATTGCGGGTGTTACTTCGACGATCGATCGTGCACGCGCGCTCTCGCGTAGTTCCTCATCTAACCAAAATTTAACTAAAAACATGCGACGACGAAGAGCCGTGATGCTTTGAGCAATTTTTATATCTTTGACGATTGAAAACGTTATAGAAAATTGTGGGGGTCGTGAAACGAGTGGAGGTGGATAATGTAAATAAATATTTTCCTGTCACATATATACATACACACACATACATCAATCTTCCCGTCGAATCTCCCATCGTGTGCTCAGTTTCATCCAATTAGGGAGCCGATCGCGATCGATCGGAAATTCATCCTTATTAAACGTCTACGGAGCACAATCAAATTGAAACTCTCGTAACTGCCTCGAAAGTTACCTCGCCGAGGACATAAGCAAGGATATCTGTCCTGTGGGGGGGCGACAGGAAGACGTAGGGTGTTGCCAAGCACTGCGGCAACCTCTCGCTCGGCCTCCCCTGAAAAGCTTAAATCGGCTTCATATCTCAGCCGCACCCCTGCATCTCTAATCAGATCATTAACCCCGCGGAGCGTTCGCACGAAGGAAGTTCGTCAGACGAAAATCTCGATTTTCGACTTTCTCTTCGGCGAATGGACGCGGCAGAGAGAAAATAGGCCTTACGTTGAAAGCGCCTAAGAAAATGTCGCGTGAAGAATATTCGATGACTGAATACATAGTATAACAACCTTGGTAGAAATTTTAAATCCTACGTTAAATCCTACGTTAAATAGAGAAAATGGAAATGAATTCCAATTTGTGCACAATAAGTGCTCTTTTAGTGCTATGAGAGTTGAGTCCTCCAGAGTCTAAATTTTAGTTTTACGTTAAGTTTTCAAGTGAAGAAAACAGCAGTAAACTTTTCATTTGTAACATAAAAGGAGCAATAGAAGACTTTTGAAAACTTAAAGCATAAGCGTTTTAGCGAAATAATTTCTTCTTTCTCGATCGTGCCGAATTTTCGCTGTCTGCTCGATAATTTACAATATTTCATTGATCTAGTCTCAGTCACAAAAATTCAGTTACAATTAAAACAAAAGATCTTCATCAAGAGAACAATATAAGGGTAAACGAAGTCCGTGAATAAAAAAGAAAAACCCGAAGATATTGTGCGCGAGTTTATTTTACGAGAAGTGGGAATCCCTACCGTCGAAGAGTGAGACGGCTGTTGGAAGCCAAGACGAGGTCGGGACGAAGGAAAGAGAAGGAGCAAATAAATTTCTCGGTAGCACAATGGAGAGCCACCGAGGAGACGCGAGAGAACGGTGGCTCAATGGCTCATTCAATTAGGATCTTTTCAGCGAGGATTAAAACCCGGGAGCTCTTCCTCTTTCACAAGACTGGTCTGATTTGTTGCAGGATGGAGGAGTCGTCGCGGGGCCTACTGCAACAGAAGCACAGGGCCGAACAGCTGAAGCAAGAGAAAACGGCGCTGACACTTTCCTACGAGGTGAGTAAAACACCGATCGTGAGTCGCGTACGTGTCGGAGCGGGTTTCTCTTTCCTTCTACCGACGTGTTCGCGGAAATAACATTAGCTCCCGCGGTTAAAAACCAGCTCTCACAGTTCGAAATTAGCTGCCCATATAATACAGCTGAAATTTCGTTAATAATGTAGAACTAATTCCCGAGTGGATTTGATTCTACATTAAGTCTTCAAAAGTCTTCTATTATGTTCCTTCGATGCCACAAATGGGAGGTTATTTTCGTTTTCCCCACATTAAAGACTTAATGTAGGACTAGAATTTCGACTCTGGCTTTTTTTTTGTCCCTGTTCCTAGTTGTTAGCTTCCACGGCTAAAAATTAAGTTTGGTAACTAAACTTCAGTTGTATCATGCGGACAGCGAATTCCCTTTTTCCGTTGGCGTTTAATTCACGAAGTCCGGTAAAATGAACGAACGCGCTAAACCCGTCTCGGGTTATCGACCCTTCATCGCAGGAGGTGTCCCGAAACACCCCCGAGACGAACTTCGCCCCGTCTGCATCAATCACATGCGATATGATACGACACGACACGCCGAGTGCCGTTAGACGACGCATGAACGGGATAATCGACGCCGCAATCCGACGACAATCGAGTGTTTTGGGGATCGCGTGATCGCGCGACGACGATGTCGCGTCGTCGACTTCGAGTCGCGTGGAAGCCGGAGCGCGATGACAGCCCCGGTAAAAGGTTTCCCCTTATCCAATAATATCGCGCTCTCCTTCACGACGACGTGCTCTTCTCGTGTGTCACCGTGAACGGTGCTCCGGCCGCTCTCCGGCTGGATTCGGAGCCCCGTTATTGTCGCGAAAAGGCCGAACTTCGCTCCGTTTCCGTTGAATTATTGAACGTCAAGTGGCACACCTGCGATTCATTCTTGTTTATTTCTCATTGTTTTCTCGAGTATCGCGGCAGCAGCTTCTCGAGCTCTCTCAATTTCATGGAGTGGAATCTAATTCGAGATAAGTGGAAAGTCGCAGTATTTTCACTCGAAGGGTTAATGAGAACGCCGCCACTCAAAATTGCAAGAGTGCACTGGGAGAAATTATTTGTAGTTATTTTTTTCCGACCTCAAATATATACCTTTTTCTTATTTTAACCATAATTTTATTAAAAATAATAATAACAATATGCATGTAAAATTATCGCTAACATATAGTGACATTTACTAGAAAAATGGTCCTTTTGATCATGATTCTTTTACTGCGCGGATATTACATAATTACGTATAATAATGATTAATATTTTCTTATTTTTCCACTCTTCACTTCTCTCAAGTGAAAATATTCATTCGACGATTCACAGGAAAGAACTCACTCTATACTAATGAAAAATTACTCGAATCCGAGTGACTCGACTTTCCGAGTGAGACTTCACCCCGAGAAATTTCCAGAGAACGATATCGGATTTCTCTCTCGGATTTCATGCTCTTTATCACCCGTGCGATAACGTAACTTCGAGTTCCTCCCTTCGAGCCCCTGCCACCGGCAGTTCGCCGGAGTTTACGCGTGACACGATAACCGCCACGTTGCGTCTCGATTCGCGACGCGATCTCGGGATCGATGCTCGCCGTTCTACTCGGAAAGAATCGCCTATAAACGAGCGAGCGAGCGAACGAACGCGCCCGCTCCTCCTTCCCCGGCGTTTCCGCAATTCGCGAGTCTCGTAAAGCCGACGGCCGATGATTTTTGGCGTAAAACGCGTAGCCGCGCACGCAAGGTAATAAAGGGAGGGAACAGTAAACGCGGACGTTTACTGCCGATCCTTACGGCACGCGCGCTATCTCGTTCACGGTCGGTTTGCCCCTAAAAGAGTCGTACCGTGCCGCGTGTCCTCCCCTCTTCCTTGCCCTCCTTGCCTCTTTCCTCCCCTGCAACAACGGAATGAAAGGGGAGAAATAGAGAGAAAAAGAGAGAGAGAGAGAAACTGCATCGTCGCCCTACGAAATAACATTTAATATCGATCGTCACTCGATCCCTAGGTTCAATGTCGACCACCCGGCTGTCAATGACAAGCCGCGCAATCCCTAACGGGAAGCGGTGTATAACGTCACGTCTGAACGCACGAGTGTACTTTCATTGCGCCAGCGCGGATCGGTGACAATCTGCGAAAAAAAAAAAAACAGGGGGAAAACAGGAAAATAAAGGACAGGCGACTTGTCGGGTCGAGTGACAGCTTGGGGTCTGTATCGGACAGTATCGGGAGACGCCGGAGACCGCGGAGAGAGACAGCGGAATTGCGAGATTAATTTTTATTTACGGCCGCTGAAGTAGGGGAAACTCGATCGTTGCGAGAACGATGCTTTTCACCGCGAGTGACGCGAGTATCGCTCTGGTATTTACGGAATGAGAGCAATACGGAGAATTATTGCAACGTGTTGTAACGGCAGAAAGCTTCACGGTGTCCCACTTCGCTGTGCGTTTGGAAAACTAAAGAGGATTTTTTCATATAATTCTGAGTCGAAATTTTGATAAATTACAATAATATACAATAAATAACGCCTTGCTCGAGTCACGAATGACGCCTGTCTTTCTTTGCGAGAGTTAAATTTTCATTTTCGTTGTTTTTAGCATTAGCAATAGGTCGTTTCAAATTTGAGTCTAATATCACACTTTTAAAACGAAAAAACTTTTAAACATGTAACATGAAACATATATGTTTACAGATATATATAATAAAATAATCACGATTATATTCGCTTTTGAAAATGTGTATCCGTTTATTCGTTTATCCGTTTATACGAAGGAAAGGAAAATGTTAGTTTCGTCTTCATCCCTTATTTGATACGGAAATTCGAAGTTAATTCGAAGTCGAAATTAATTTAATAGTCGTGTGACGTCATACCCGTCGTAATCGTATAAACTGTTATTTGTCAAATATACGTATATATGTATCGCAAAATCCGTTTAAACGATTAAATGTTTATTTACATCGAAACAATTTGCATCAGACGTTTCTAAACAGATATATGCCAAACGTTTAAACGTATATTCGGAGAACGGATCAAAGCGGAAGTCCTGCTTTGAATGTTCATATAAATTTAATAATCGAAATATCCAGAGTACGCTTATAGCTTCAAGATAATATTAAAATTAAATATGTAGAATTAAAGCTTTAAGAGAGAAGTTAAGAAGTATAGTATCGTCAAAGTAGATTTTCATTCATCCATAAGTCATCTAAGTAGGTGTAAATAGTCCTTAAGAATATTAAAATAGCATCGGTCGGATTTGATCCGATTTACTTCAATGTTAAAGGTACACAAATATATGTTAAATTAACATATTCATCTTGTTAACATATTACTTCTTAACGTATTCACCTTGTTAAAGTAACGCAAAAATTTCAAGGAACCATTATTTACGCGAAACTTTTTATTGTGTACAGATATCAAATATTTTTCTTTCAACGTGAAAGAAAAATCGATCTCGGTTCGCTAAGTCGGGGCGGCGATTTTTCGGAACATCCTGTATCGAAGATACATAACGAAAGCGTGTGCGTCGGCGAGAATTCGCGAAGGCGGACGGTCTGCATTTTTACTCTCCCTCAAGCCGGGGAACGACAGAAAATCGTTGGTTCTTTCGACGCGATGCGGGGGTGCGCGGACGTTAGCAAGGGCCGACTGTTATAAATCAGACACACGCACCCTCTATTAGCACCCCTGTCCCCGACAGAGGTCTCCGCGGCTCTAATTCAACGTTAAACGCCTTTCTGCTAATAACGGCTGGTTATTACCGTTACCGGTACCGGTCGAGTCGCGGAAAGGCTCGTCGCTGTTAAACAATTCCTCGCTCTTTCGTTTCTCTCTCTCTCTCTCCCCCCCCCCCCCCCNTCTCCCTTTCTCGTTTCTCGTTTCGTTTGAAAGCCCGAGTCGCCCACGATTCGAGGCGAACGGTATAACAAGAGTGGCGAACGGTCACAAGCACCGCAACGTAATTACTTCCGTTTTGAAAACGTCGGGCAAGGAGACTCTCGGTGGCAGTGGCGGGTTTGGATAACTCAGGGGCCCCAGGTGTAAAACGAGCTTCCTTATATCCGATGATATTAAAAATTAAACATCGAGAGGGAGAGGGGAGGCGGGGATTGTTTTAGAAAGCGCCGCGCGAATAATAGCGCAATAGTCTGAGGAGAACTTGGGAAACTTATATATGAAAAAAAGAATTATTGCTCGTGAAATATTTATGGCGAATCCGTAAAAGGGTTTTCGAAGATTAAAACCCGCAAAATGGAAAAAATGTAAGATTGGAAATTAGAATCGTCCAATTAATGTGCACATCGGACGAGCCGCTCGGAAAAAATAATTATATATGAATTTTGTCTCTATATTTCATGTATAATCACATGTAATTTTATATGATTATATATGATTATATATAAACTTTTTCTCCCGGAGAGTGAAAATATTCACTCGATGAGATTCAGAGTGAAAAATTCACACTCCATATGAGTGAACAATGACTCAAATTCAAGTGATTCAGCTGTTATTTTACTTGTCGAACGAAATTTTACTCCAAGGAATTTAAAAAGTATCATTACTCGTTAATTAATAAAACAAAATGAGAACAAAAAGAGGAGTTGTCCACTTACGAGCACCCGAACGAACGCCTCACGTGTTCATGCAGCAATCCGTTATTGCGATGCACGGCTGTTCTCTCCACCACGTATATCTTCGCTAGAACGGATAATTTGAACAGCAAATGGCAATCGTCACGATTACCATAATTACTCCCATTTAAGAATGGACGTAAACGGGCTGTCGGACGTTCCCGGTATTTTAAGAATGGATCATTTAAGAACGGTGTGTTCTCTGTTCTATAACGAGATCATCGTTGTCGCTCAGATAATTACAAAGAGGAGCGTGTATTTATTCGCTCGTTCGCTTGTCCCGAGTCGACATTTTGATATTACTTTGACTTAAAAATAATTTGCATCTACTTAAGTGGCCTATAGACTAGTAAAAATTTACTTCGACGATATTATACTTGTTGACTTCTTCCTTGAACCTTTAATTCTACAGATTTAAATGTTACACCACAAAAAATTAATATCAAAAATTAATATTCAAGACAAAATTAATATCAAAAGTTAGCATTCAAGATCTCATGTATAAGCACGAATATATAATCTCATATGAAAATAAAATTTGCTTACATAAGGAAATATATGTAGGAATATAAGTCTTGAATTGATATTAATTGTTTTCCGTGTACTTGGAAGCTATTAATACTCTCGATATTTGATTATTAAATATTCATTAAATATTCATTGTGGATATTAAATATTCATATAGTTCACATAGATATTCAAAACAATTTATTTCGACACTAAATTTAAAACATCATCATTATTGTCAAATTAGGAGTAAATTATATCATTAGAATTGAACCAATTTTGATGTCTTAGTTTCTACTTTGTTGTAGAATTAAGTATTTGACATATGGCCCAAAATCCAACTCTCGTGTATTTAAACCACAGCGATAAGGCCGGCCGATTTTTGCAGCGGCTGTCGTATGTTAAGAAGCCCGAACTCGATATTTAACGTGACCGAGTCCCAGCGAGACTGAAAGAGAGAGAGAGAGAAAGAGAGAGAAGTGAGTCACTCTCCGGCCGGCTCTCTTGATAGAATCGAACAATCCATTAGCTCCTTAATTTTAACGACCGCTGGGAATTGAGCTCTAACAGGCGCTATAATGCGCACTATATTTACAGAACGCACTCTCCCGACCTGCGTCGGTGCTGTCGCAAATTTTCATGTGGTCTCTTTCACGTCGGATTAAGATCGAGATTATGATCGTACGCGCTTTGAACAAAATTAAAATCGTCAACGAATCTGCGACCGTCGAATGGCCGAATAATAGCAATTCCGCTCTCGTGTCTCTGCGTTTGACACTGATGACACTAATAATCGTCACACGCAATGTTAGTTAATTATAGGGATAATTACGCGACGTTAATTTAATAAAAGGCCAAAAATGGATAATAATTATCCGGTGTCACCGCGACACCTCGCTAACGGCGACAAGAGCACGATAATTTCTGCACTGTCGTAATAGATTTTGGATTGTACTAATCGTCATCATGTCATTACGCGCGCTGTATGAATAAAATATTATTAATAACTATCCGGCGTTCGTGCGTTATGACAATTCACAATTATAATTAGAGACGCCGTCATGCATGCGTGTGTGTGTGTGTGTGCGCGCAGCCATTAATATAATATCGCCGGTATTACGATAGATTACACACTGTGATAGATATCACATTAATCACCGTAGGACTGAATAAAACATTATTCGCGATGATTATCGGTAGTATGTAAATCGTGTGTGCGAGACTGATGTAACAGGGCCACGCGTGACGCATGTGTTTCGCAGGCACGCGTGCACCAGTACCAGGCGCAGATCTCGAAGCTGCAGTTGGAGAACGAGTCGATGCGAGGTCAGCTGCGCGGCCTGGAGGCAGCATGCGCCGGTGAAGTGCACGCCGCGCTGGTGGCACGACTGGCGACCCTGGAGACGGAACACGCGGCCTTGGCGCGGGACGCCGACGCCCAGCGTCGGCAATACGAGCGGTGCCTGGACGACGTCGCCAACCAGGTGGTCCGCGCCCTCCTATCCCAAAAGGTTCATCGCTATGCTCTCGTTACCACACGTCCTTTCTCTGTCTTTCTTTCTTCTCTCTTTCTCGTCTCCTGACTTCTCACACGATCACGTCCCCTCCGAGCAGCTCTGCCGCGCCCTGGAGACGCGTATTACGAGATACCGTTCGGAAATGTTAACCCCTTCGAGACCCCGCGGAGATACCGTTTTCGAAAACTGTCCGGAGAACTTTCTACGTAAATATTATTATTATTTTATTGAAAGTTTATATTAGAATCGTTAACCCTTCGTTGTCACGCTTCTTTTTTGCTGTTCACTTTGACATACTGGACCTGTGAATATTCATAAACGCGCTCCTATGTAGTGTACAGATATTTTGTTGAGTTTTGAGTGTACAAAAGATAAATTTGAAAAGTTCGTTGCAATCGTTATTTTAAAAGTAGATAATAATTTAAAATACGAGAAAAAATAATATATTAATTCTGCATGGAAAGAAATAAAAAAATTTTGCATGCTTTCAAAAAAAATTCTATTTTAGTTTATATATAGATGCAATAATTCAAGATTTAACAACTATAAGACCTTAATTTTTTGCTTGGGTCAATTTGACTTGTTAATGTCAAACTAGGGTTTGATATTAATATTAAGAAACTAGAACAAGCGTGCGCTACTCTCATCTTTCATCCCTAATCGCTCATCAGAAGGTAAGTTTGAAAGGGTTATAAAACCTGCAGGCAAGATCGATGCGATCTTGCTAAGCCCGACTGAGTCAGAAATATGAATGCATTTTAATAAATTTAGATCTCAAAAATCGACTGAAAAATCGTCTCGAAGGGATTAATTCGCCGCTGACACGCTTCCTCCCCACCCGCTAATACGCTTCTTAAAGTTGATGTGTTGCCGAGGAGGACGTTAGAATGAGTACTAATTGCCGGTGGGTGAATTGTCTTCAGGGTCTCAGGGAGGAAATAGGCGCATTGCAGAGACGTATACGAGAGCTCGAGGCTCAGAATCGAGCACTGTCGGGACTGTTGGCGCAGGCTGCCAGTCCTGGTAGCCCCACCGAACTGATCCAAGGAATCCTCGAGGCAGGTCCAGCTGCTCTGGTGGCCGCCTTGGGCTTGGACCCTTCTTGGGTGCCCCTCTCGAGGCCACGTTCCTTAAACTTGCAGATACCCGTGATGGCAGCCACCAAGTGCCGACGCAGCAGACCTCTCGGTACCCTTCCGGACCTCTCCTCTTCCTCTCGGAATTGCTCGGAAATTTCACTCTCGGAAAATAAAATGACGGCCGAGTCACTCGAATTCGAGTGATTTTTCACTCTTATAGAGAGAATTCTCCGTTCTGAATCGTCGAGTGAATATTTCTATTCGAAACTGAATAGTGAATTTGATGTATTCCACCGAGAATTACGAGAACAAATTTACTTTAATTAATTGAAACATCCAGTCTCGTATGGAGTACGAGTTCACTCTAAATTTGAGTAAAATATTCACTCTTAGGACAATGTCATACAGGAAAACGTAAGCGGCGAAATTTGAGTAGTAAGAAAATTGATCAATCACAGTCGATTATTCTTCGACCGTAATGAGAACGATCGACTGTGATTGGTCAATTTTTTTACTGTTTAAATCTTGTTGCTCACATTTTCCTGTGTGCCAAGACCCTGATGGTTCCGAATGACAGTATCTTCACTACAGCCTCGAATAACTCGATATTCATCATTTCAAGTGAAACATTACTTTAAGAATCTTAGAGACCACGTTTTAAGGTAGTTAGTCCGTAGAGTGCTGGATTTTCAGTGTCAATATTAAAAAATCTCTACATAAGTTTATTATTTGTTGAAAAAATATATTTTCCTATAATTTTATTTGGTTATCTAAATAATAAATAAATATATTATAGTAATTTTTAGCGAAATTAAAACAAATATATATACATAATTTACACGGAAACATTATTTATTTTTTATTTGTCTTATTGATGCTTTATTTATACGTCAATTGAACAAATAGAGATGCAGACATAATAAACAGTGGTATATAAATATTTAAATATATATATATATATATATATCACAAGTATTATTATAAATTGCAAATTTCTTATGGCTATATTTTCAAAACAAAATATAAATTCAAAACAATAATTCTAGAATTTTTAAATAATGTCTATATTAGTCCTTAAAATCACAGTAATTTCTCATTCAAATTCTAAATGTAGTTTAGAAATAATTAAAAATAGAAGTCAAAAGTAAGACATTATAATTCCAAAATATATGTATAAAAAATATTATTTTTAGTTGTGAATATCTCAGTTTCTGAATGGTCAATCGTTTTCTAACTTTACACAGAAAAAAATTAGTCTTAAGTAAAAAAATAAGCATTTTTATATATAAACAATAATGTTATAATTTTCTTAAAAGAATTTTAATCTTGGTTTGATTGAATTTGTACCAACACAAATATTACATGAACTCAATTCAAGATTAAAAATATTCTAAGAAAATTATAATATTCTTGCTCATATATGAGAATATCTATTCTTGATTTAAGACTAACTTTTTTTCCATATACAGACATGTAGATAATATTTCCATCAACAAGCTCAAATCTAAATGAACTCCCAAGAGAATAATTTGACGGACCAACTACCTTAAGCACACGATGGAGGCACAACTCAACTAAACGACGACTCGAACACGAACCCTTCTCGAGTTCTCTATCCCTCCATCGTGTCCGCGGCCCCCCACTCTCATCGGGACTGTGCACGACCGAACCGTTTGCAGCGCAAAAGCCCTCGGAGGAGGAGGGCAGCGAGAGCCCAGAGAGCGGTAACCGGGACGAAGGCTACTCGACCATGTCCAGCGACGTTCAGGGTGAGGGCACGCGCCAAGAGCCGTCGCGCGGCCTCGAGGACCTCAAGGAGGCGACCGACGAGACCGAGGCCGACGTGTCGCCGGACGCGCGTCTCGTCGCCCTCGACGCCGGCGATCCCGACGTCCTCTTCCTACCTCTGAACCTCACGGTCGGTATCAATCCGCGACACAGCTACCCGCCCACCAAGGAGCTGCTGCCCTACCAACACGTGATGCGCAGCTTCTCCGACAGCCACCTCTGCCTCAAGCTCACCACCACCGCCAATTTCACGCCGTACAAGCTACCCAGCCCCATGGGATCGTCCTCCCTGCTGCTGGTCGAGGAGGAGGGCTGGGACGCCGAGTACGTGCAACAATGGCTCAGGTTTGTCGCCCTCCCCCTCCCTCTTCTCCGTATCTCTACGTGTCCTCGCAGCATGAGCGCGTGTAATCGCGTTGGATTGCGGAGCTTTGATTCCGGGGAGACACGGGAGAGAGCGAAACGGTTGGACACGCGCGACTGTTCGGCCGTCATGTGCATCTCAATTTTGTTGTATTTAACGGACTTTGATATTTGGGGGTTCCGCCGTATGGAGAAATGCTTGATTTCACCTCCGGAGCGCCTTTAGCGCCGTGTTCCCCGTAGATCTTTTCCGTGAACGTTCCAGTTCAATTCTTCGGGACGAAGAACAACCTAAGGGTGACTTTCACCAAACTCTAGTTGAGCTGAATCGGTAAACAGTAATAATAAGAATTGTCCACGCCAGTTTTTCCGGCCATGCAACTTGTCGACGATAATCGAGAAGTTCATAATTTATATCTGCGTTAGCAAGATAGAACAAGTAACTTGGCTGACAGCAATTTTATATCGTCGATTAGCTTAATCGGAGTTCGGTGAAAGTTACCGTAAGGTTGTTCCTCGCTCGGAAAAGGTGAACTAGACGCGGCATTAACTCGGCAGCCAAATTAAACATTTAATAGATCTTATCAGAGACGTTATTTTTTCATCCAATATTAACCCGTTTACTATTAATACCAATTATTAATTCTCCGTCGGCAACGTGTAATTTAGTATTTTCCGGCAGCAGCCTGGGGCTTTGATGGCTGGTGCAGGTTTCTATATTGTTCTAAACTGTGTAAAAATCTGAACAAAATTCGTATATATTTGAGAAAGTTTTAATAATAAACTTTTATCGTCATAGAAATCGGATTGTATTTTACTTATTTTTTACAGATCGGGGTAAAAACACCGAAAAACATGGCTTCGGTTAAAAATTCTTAATTTTTACATGAATGAGTAAACAAATCTTTTTAGGCTTTAACATTTGAATGTATGTACTTCGGAAAAAATAGTATAATGGTGTTAGTTCCGAAAAGATGAATTATTTGGACTGAAAATGAAAATTTTTGTGAGAAAGAAATTAAGTCTCTCATTCGAAAGAAAAAGTAATAAAATCATTTTTATGGCAGATTAATAATTAAATTCAGTTAATTTTTATCAAAATCAATGTACATGTGTAAAAATAAAAAAATTAAAATATTTATACGGCACAATCTTTACAATAATACGTGCGGTGCTCTTCGCACACTGACTTATCACACAATGCAAGTAATATATAGTTCTTAAAAAAAAGAAATGAAATATAAAACATATAAAAACACCAAATAATCTATTTACAAAAAGAAATCTTTATATATTTATTGAAATCAGTGAAGAAATTATGCAGAATAACAAGGAACCTATTTTAGAAGCAAAAATCTTACTTATTCTTTGAGATTAGCGTCAAAAGCATCTGAAACACGAAAAAAGCCAAATTGATTTGCAAAAATATTTACGTGGTCTGCAATCTGGCTTACTGAGGATACAAACGGGTATTCTAACTTATTAGAAAACGAACAATTGGAGATACTCGGCGTTTTTACACACACATAATCTCGCTACTCTCAAGTTTTTTTTTTTTTTTTTTTAAAGAAAAAGATTATCGATTACCGCTACCCACCAGTTATCCTAAAAGTCACAATCAAGGAATCGACTGTTCCCTCAAATTCCCGCATTGTCGGAGGAGGAGGGTTAATATTAATATTAGTGTTAATATTAATTAGTATCGACAATAATATTAATTAATATTGATAATAATACTAATATTAATATTAGTATTAATAAGGAAATGAAAATAACATTAGTAAAAAAAATGAAAATCGCCGATTTCAGGCTGGACGACAGTAGGAGTGCGCAACAGCACCGAGACCTGCTCGAATTAGAATACGACCGGGCGGAGCTGGAGGATTGGAGCTTCTCGTTGTCCACGGAGGACCTCGTGCAAAACGAATCGGCAATGTGGAAGGAGCCGGCTACAAACACGCCCGCCTTGCCGGCAATCAAGGAGCATAATCCCCTGGAATTGGAGGAGGACGCGAACGAGTGTCTGTGGAACGGTGCGAGTTATCTCGCCGACAGGGCCGGAGGGGAACTGGTATGTTCATCGATTGCGCCGCGATATCGATCGACGGCCACGCGCGCGTCAGTCAGCCGCGCGGGACTATTATCGCGCGCTCGGCGGCGGACTAGTCCGCCGAAATCCGAGTGATTTCCACGGGCTCCGCGCGCGCTCAGATCGCCCTAATTCCGAATAATCGCCAACGCCATCGCTAATTCCCGTTAATCCGCCGCAGGTCGCGCTTCTGATGGACACGAGGGCGACCGGACCCTGGCCGTACGCGTCGAGCCCCGGCGCATCCTGGAGCAGCGAAGAGGGAGTGCTGGAGAACTCCAGCAAGAGGTCATCGGCGGCGCTCTCCGGTTGCAGCGACGACCCCGACACGCCGTCGGTCGGCACCGACTTCACCAGGGACTTCTACAGACTGGTGAAATTCGAGAGCACCAAGAGCCTGGCCAGCACGTCGTCCAGGAGCGGGAGACCGCCGCCGGACAGGGAGCAGGCGCTCCAGAGCGTCCTGTCGTTCATCGCCGAGCAACAAATGTACCTCGCGGAGTTACCGAACAATCCCGTGGAATCTCACAACACCGCGTCTCACTCGACCGAAGGTTCGTCACTTTCGACTGTAATTCGTCGTCGAACCGAGCAACTCGCGCTGTCCACGCTTGACGAAGTTATCGGGAATATAATTATCACGGAGGGAGGGAGTAGAGGCTCGAATCGAACGGATGAATTCGTAACGAAATAAAAGAAGAGAAGAGTAAAGGTCAATTACGAAGATATTATCCTTTCGTATTTTATCATAAAAACGCACAAAATTATTTATCAAAAGAACATTCTCACGTATAATTTTGTTAACAATAAAAAATTACTTTGAGGAACTAGTTTTTTTTTATTTCAATGACCTTTTTATGTTTATCATTTTCCTGTGTAAATAAAGCGATCGTACTATTCGGACTCGAATCTTTTAGACTCGGAAACGAACTCCAATTGAATCAACAGTGATTCGATTGGAATGACACACGTCTCTAGATTCCACGCGGGAAGAAGTAAGAAGTTTTGCATACTTTAAGCAAAGAATTCCATGCATTCAAGACTCAACAACTATGAGATCTAAAGCTTTCGCATTGACCCACGAGTGCCAAACTGGTTGGGGAAGAGGGGAGGGGCAAGAACGTTGGAAATGCCGCAGAATGACTAAGGGAATTCTGAACCGCGACAGTTATAGAAGTGGGCAGCAGCAGCAGCAGCAGAGGAGATTCCACGGCGGAGGCGAAGGTCATCGAGGCGGAGGGACCGGCCGCTCAGGAGAGCATCAGCAGCGGGAACACGAACGAGACGAGCAGCACTGACGAGCTGCTCGATCAGATACAGGTGCCGCCGTTGGCACCCGAGGAGAGGATCGTGAGCGCCGTGTCGTGTAACGGCGGCATCTCCTACACGACGGTCGCGCCGTCGGAATTGGGAGCCGTGCCCGAGGAGGACGAGGAAGTCGCGACCTCCTCCACGCCCAGTACAGTGGTAAGTTCCTCGTAATCGCGCGTGCTAATTTCCGCAGAAGAAAAAGAAGACGATGATGATGAAGCAGCAGTCACTCGCGTCATATCGCGATAAATGGCGGCGCAACGAGTATCTTTATCTCTCTCATGAGATAAAGATTGGTGTAAATGATATAACGATCCTCCGTCCGATACGTAATTACAATCGAACCCGTTTCCGCAGGTGAGCCCGGCGCGAGCGACCCTCCTCGTGGAGGGCAGGGATCGGACGTTGAGTTTCCACGAGCGCGCCACGTCCAAAGACGTCATAGACGAGCTGAATCGCATGATTCGGAAAGGCGAGGATAACGCTGCGATTGCTAATAACGAGCCCCAGGTAGCGCTGGAGAAACTGGACCTCGCTTGCTGTTGTCCGACAGGATGGGTTCACGTCGAACGCGACATTGACTTCACCGACCCCAAGGTACGCTACCCGTCGGCAGACACCGGACTGATTCAGAAGACTTTTCCCACACTGAGAAGAAAAAATATCTAAAAAGTTGAAATATTTATTTTCAGGATACTAATATTTGCCTATACCAATTACACATATTTTTACATTAGGAAAAATATTTTTCAAATGAAATCTATATATTTCCTCAAATCTGTAACTTTTCATGAAGGTAATTGTTTATTTTATTTAATCGATTTTATTTTTATTCTATTCTATTTTTTTATATTTTATTTTATTTTTAAATATAATTTATTGTATTTTTAATTAAAGTTTATTTTCAATTTAGTTATAGTTTATTCTATTTTTGAATAAAATAATTGAGAAATTTAAATAAATTGTTATCAGTAGTATCTATCGAACAAATATTTTTCATTTTTTAGATATTTTCTTCTCAGTCTTCTCAATAAAATAGTTAATACAAAATACACATTTCTCTCATTTCAATATTTCTATTTGAAAAATCATTTCTTCATATCAACGTTCAGTATTTATACACGGAATAAAAAGTTGAATCGATAAAACTTCCCACAGCGCGCGCAGTTAAATTAAAATAAATGACACGCGTGAAATAAATTTTCCTGATCCAATAGCAGTATTATTGAAATAAACACATCGTACATTTTGTTTCTCAATAACTCGAGTATTAATTTCAATGATATCGCTATCGAATCAAGAGGATTTGCTCCAGTTACGCGCGCTGTTGGAAATTCTATCGATTCATTTCTCTTCCCGCATGGAGAGATCAGTTTAATGATAAGTAAGTGGACACGGGCAGATCGAATTTTAATTACGCTCATTGCTACAAACGCGACGGTAAACGTGACACTTTGATTCAGGCCAGAGCCAATCTCTTAGACGTGATGTTAGCGAGCAGCGAAAGTTCCTCGGCGACGTCGAGCAGCGGTTCGGCGGGCAGCGACTCGGGGGACGAGCCGCCCGATTACCGTCACTTGCACAGACTGCACCGGTACCGACGACAAAAGAAAGGTATTTAGTCGGGCGCCTACATTCCGTAGAACACTTCTGCCGTGCCGTTTCGCGCATCACCACTCACCGCCACCTTTCCGCGCGCAGCTCACAAGCTCGACTACTTGCGTTCTCTGTCCATTTGTTCTCTCTCAACGCTTCATTTTCTTCTCGAAACACTTGGTTCTGTCGTTAACCGCTCTCATTACGCTTACTTCTTTCTGAGGTTATCGTCTCTATCGCTGTCTATCTTCGTATACGAAATACACTAACCGGTCAGCGTTGGCAGTGTGCAAGAAGCTTGAGCCTGAAGCACTCGCTCCGATTAACGGAACTCCAGTGTTGGACATTTGCACGTTCTCGAGATCGAGAAGTAAGGCAAGAGGTCGTACAACACTCTCGTTTACCGCTGCGTGTAATTGTCCAACGCTGGAGGAGACAAGCTCGACGACGCTTTCGAGGATTCGGTAGGTGGTGAACAGCGCTTGCTCCCGTAAGCTTGAGACAACGACACTACTCACACGTCGCCAAACACGACATCTATCACAAGTTAACACTTTTACTGACCGTAATAACCGAGATAAGATAAGCTGGGGCCCATTCGTATCCTAGTTTCGTTTCACGGAGAAAACGCACTATTACATCCACGGTTTTTTAATCACAACATGAGTACACTAGTACTCTTTAAACTTCTTAGAGTGGAATCTTGTTCAAAACAAGCGAAAAGTAGCGGGATTTTCACTCGAAGCAGTGAGAATACCGCTATTCGAAATCACCAAGAAAATTTCATTCAAGCTTAGAGTGGAAAAAGCTACAGATTTAAGAAAATGCATATTTGTTCATTTGAAAACAATTTTGCTCAATGTAAAAATATGTATAATTGATATAAATAAATATATTATTAGCATCGCCGAATAAACGTTTCTTATTTTTTTAGATATTTTTTCTCTCAGTATATTCATTAAAAAATTCATAGAATATTTTTATGCTGTTTTTGGGAATATCAATAAAACCGTCTTGTATCGTTAAAATTTCTCCCTCAGAAATTTCGTGAATACCACGTCACCGGTCAAGAAAGTGTTAATGACGCACACTCGTAACACACACGCACACAGATGCAGACACACATGCAGATACAGAAGATATACAATCGACAGAATCGGCACCCACCAATATCACGCTCGCGCGCGCGCCTGGTAGCCCTCGCTGTACATAGCCTTTTCCATATTTTTTTGTTCAGATGGTAGCTCCTACGCGGTGTGCTTTGATTGTCACAAGAAAAGCTACGTAGTTCGGCTTAGTGACGATCAGTTTCTGTAAGCGACATGCCAATTGGGAGGAATACATTCCGCCGGGACCTATTTTTGGCCTCACACACACCACGTGAACTCTGTGTACGGCTACGACGGACTTACCTCATTGGTTTACTAACAGAATTATTAACCGGAAGAGAATCGTTCCTGGCGAAGCGCCTTCACGCAATTCCAATTTTCCCGTCTCGCGTCCGTCCCGCCGCCGTGTGTGTGCACGCGCGTTTATTATACCCGTGTGACCCACTTGGCGCACGCGCCGCCGTCCGAAAATCTTGGGAACGAGATAAGCGCGCGTCAAGCGTGCGGAAGGGAAGAGGGCTCTTCTCATCGTGATGTACATTTTAATCGAAACCAACGGCGAGAGGAGGAGTATAACGTGTAATCAAAATAAGTCGCTCTTCCCTTCGGACACGCGAGCCGCGCTTCACGATGATCGAGGTGCGACCGGCTACACGTTATCCGCAGGAAGTGCGAGTGCAAAATTTTCAGGAAAACTAGAAAACGAGAACGTCCAAAGACTTTCGGACGAGAGCGTGCACATTGACGTGTGTGTCAACGTCTTTTCAAAAATTCAAGACACCTTCACGAACGACCCGTGCATATAATGCGTTCGTGACGCAAGAATATGGATGCTAGTACATAGTACGCGCTAGAAAAAAAAAATCAAAAGAAATCCGAAGAGCCTCGTGCATGGAATTGCGTCAGGGTAAATCGAGAACGCTTTACTTTCTCTCTCGATGTGTATACCGCGAGTGGGATCGACAACTACTGAATTCTTATTGGCACGTGCAAGACCGTTTCAACGCTCTGTTGTTCTCTTCATCCTCCTCTTTCTGTACATCATCTTTCTGTACTTCATTTTCCGTATTTCATCTGGCCATAGTTATGTAAGAGGGATCCAATCCATAAAATTGTGATTTTTGAGATTTGTTACCGTCTTTCTAAATAAAAAAAAAAGTCGAAGCCTAATGGACGCCTAAAATGAATTAAAAACTAGTTTTTATTTTCTAGTCTTTTATGTCCTTTGCGTCTTTTTTATCCATTTTTTAAAAGTTAAACTTGTCAATGAAATTCTTCATATAAAAGATGTGACAATTGACCCAAGGAGTGGGGTCACATTTGTGTGTCAATGAATAAAGGAGATCGGGTATGGAAGTCATATAACTCCCGTAATAAATAACGGAGAATATTCTTCTTTATAGTTTGCTTGTGTCATATTAATCAGATGTATGAAACGACTTACAGCCAAAACATTGCATGAAATTTACAAGCATTAATTTGTTTCATTGAATGCGTGAGTAAATTTTTTCTCGTCTCTATTATTAATGTTCTGTTAGTTTTAGGATTACTAGTCGCAATTTCTCTTTACTTATAAGAAGTATTGTACTTTATACTAATTTTTCCAGTATTTAGTTCATTGCTATTGCAATATTATTTATAAATATAATCTCTTTTATTAGAAATGAACGTTTGAAGTGAATTGACTCAAATCCGATGGGACTGGTTATCATGCATTAGGAGACTTTACGTAATTACGACATTCTTTACGCACGTGCATAGAAGCACACGCATTAATCACCGAATGTTGTTAAAGTCAATCCAGTTGGTTCAATGACGCATTTAAGTTTCTATAAAAAAATTTATTAATTTATTAATATGTTTTTTAATAATATATTAAATTAATTATATAATGATGTAATGTATAAATATATATATAATTTTTTTAAGTTAGCTTTACATATTACACTGTAATATCTCGTTAATTTTAATAAAATGTTAAAAAACCACTTTTAAATAAACTATTTGTCTTGTTTTCTCCACATAAAAAATGTGACAATTGACTCAAAGTATGGAATGGAGTCATATCTGTTCGGCCTTGTTTACATTCAAATAACTTCTTTGTGCCTAAATAAATATAAGTTTAATATTTTTTTCTTGTACCCCTAAAGGATGTGCCTGCGTTATAATGTACACAAAATCGAGATGTTGATAATGAGATGTATGTTACATGCAACTTTTTCTCTTAATCAATATGTAAAAAATGTGACAACCAGACCCGGTCTCCCCTACTTTTAAAGAGAAGTAAATTGACTATGCATGACTTCTTGAACGATTGTGAAGGACTTCAGTGCTGTTAATACTTTTTAAATCATGCGTCAAATTTTCATCTTCATTTTTCTCGAAACGTGCTTCACATGGGTTGGATCCTTCTTGCATAATTATGGCTGTTACGTCACACGCCTGCGTCCGATCATCTCCTTAATCTCATCACATTCCCCGATTAATCACGCTTTTTATTTCGGCGCGTGTTGTGTAACCAAGTCGGACTGTTGGCTTTTTTTTCGCGAAAATAACGCGTGTCTAATCGCGTTCCCGTTCATTTGTCATCATCATCCCCCCGGGCGAATCATTATCATATGCGACAGATTACGTCAGACAAGCGGCGCGCAACGTGCTCAAGGAGCAATCCCGTCGAGGGAGGACAGAAGCCCGATATTATGTTCTGTCAATGGAGAAAGAAAATCTATTGTATCTCAAAAAATGAATATTTTGGAAACGATTAATTGCGTAATACTCTTCTCATCGGATTGATTAGCCGAAGCTTAGCGTCACCTCTCACGAGCGAGCAGAAACGAACGATCGTGCGCGATTTGTCTGACGTGCATCATGTATCATTCACTCGGTCGTGCACCCGCCAAGTACCTAAATTCCAAGCGAACGAAAAAAGAAAGAAAACGTAAAGTCCGCGGAGGAGAGTGGTAACCGGTGCGGTGGGGCGACGGTGGAAGGCGGAGGGACGATAGAATATACGGACGGGATAAAGAGGAGGCGAGAGAAAGGGAGAGGAAGGAAAAAAATAATAAGGAGAGCAAAAGACGGGGAGGAAAAGAGAGAAGGAGGGAGAGTGGGAAAGAGAAAGAAAAAGAGAAGAGAGAGAGAGAGAGAGAGAGAGAGAGAGAGACGTATATACGTGAAAGAGAGTGCTAAGCCGAGCTACTCTGTGTCTGCTAGAGCCGGTATAGGAAGAGAGAAAGAAAGAGAAAAGAGATCGAGTCAAGTCTGAGGCATGTTGACCCGCTGCCCTTGGTTTCTCAGCGTCGGCGGCCCAGGCGCACCGCGTCCTCCGACTGCCGTCCACCTGGGGCTCGTCGAGGCCGTCGATCATCGGCCGCGGCGACGACTTCTTCGTGCGCTACGGGGACAAGGAGCGCGAGGCGGTGGCCTCCTTCGATTTCCTCGACGAGTTCGTCGCGGCGCCCTCCTCGCTCGGCTCGGACGGCAGCCCGCTCGACCCGGACGACGCGCCGTCCGCCGATCTCGACAGCGACATCATGAAGCTCTCGCCGCTCTAGAAGCGATCCCGAGGCGACGACGGCCTATCGTATAACGTACGAATGAACGAACGAACGAACGTGTGAACGCCGATTTCTTCCGAACGCGAGCTCTTCCCGGTTGGCGAGAAAGAATCTCGACTTTTTAGATACTCGACGAGTCTAGCTTGCGAGGAAACATCGCAAATCCGAACTCTTCGATTTGGACGAACCTTTGCGAGAAATATTTCAATTTTTCTTAGATAAGATCTCCCTAAAAATTTTTCTTAGAAAAAAATTTGCCTAAAATATTTTTTAGACTTTTCACATATTTTTTAAATTTAAATTAAATATTTTTCTGAGAAAAAGTTTTCTTAAACATTTTTTTTTTAGGAAAAAATTGAATTTGCCTAATAGAATTTAAATTAAAAATTTAGGTTAATTTCAATTTGTTAAATTTTTGTACATTTAAATTAAATTTTTTCTAATAAAAATTGTTTTCTTTAGAAAAAATTATTAATTAAAAATTTTTTTAGATTTAGTCTGAATTAATTAAAATTAATGTAAATCTAAAAATGTTTTTTAGAAAAAATTGTTTACTGCCCTTAACTCACCACTGAGCTTTTAATTGTGAAATATTTTTCTCTATCTCTTGTAGTTCAAGAGTTACGAACGAAAAAGTGAAAGCGCCTTCTCGAATTTGAAGTCAAAACCCATATGTTTCTAAAGGGCACCAATAAAACATGCCGTTATTTATGCCTTGAGTTCCTCTGCATATCTACAAAAGTTATTCAAATTAAAAAGAAAAAATTCAGATTCACGGTGTTACCTTGTTAGTTTCTATCTTTCCACCATGGGAGTTTCATTGTTCTTCTCTTTTCTCACAAGCATGAGGATTTTATTTTTCGGTAGAAGCGAGGAAAACGCTGTAATTTCCGAGCAGACGCGTCCGAGGGAGACGCACGGGTCGCCGGGAAGGGGTTCGTCGGATGCGACCTCGTCACAGATATCGTTAAACCTTCTTTCGTCAAGCGTACTAACAAATCAAAACGTCGAACCGAATGACCTGACCGCCTACTTAATTAACACGCTGCGTAGCCGGATATTCGCGATCACTTAGTTCAACTGTTCTCTGTCTCTCGTCGTCGACGAGGACTCATTATTTCGCAATCGCACGTTGAAAACGTCGCCTCATCACCTCTCGTGACGAGAGAGCACGATTTGTACATTGTCCTACGAACGTCTCTCGGACGTCGCGTTTCGAGTTCCGTGATCCCGCAGTCACGGTTTTATCACTGACTGATAAGGTGGGGGAGATCGAGCAACTCCGTGACGCGTCGAGACAGATTTATTGTTTTCAGACAAGAGCCTGAGTCTTGTCCTTTTTTCTCTGCGAGCTTCCTCTTATTCGAGATACAAATCACGCGTCGCGGTACAGTCGAAGGCGGACGGAGATGGGACCCGATCAACGAGAGCGGAAATTGACCCAGACTGAATCCAGGCTGGACTGCCTGTTTCCAGAGCCTAGGTGGGATCCCGGCCAAGTCGAACTAAGACAGCCTCAATGGCTTTCTCGATATCGAACGGCCGGAGAACGCGAATTCCGACTGTCTCGCTTACCACTGTGCCCCGATACGCCGAACAAAAAGGATCTAATAGTGAGTACGTGCGGATAAATATTAGTCACAGAATTAGCGATAAGGATTATGTAAACTGCGGTCGACCTTGTGACACTAAAAGTAGCGTGTACGACGGGCATGAATCGCCACGATCGAAAGGCTCTCTCCACCGAGGCGAACGCGCATCGGCGACGCGTAGTCATAAACGTAGAGCTCGTTCTGCAACCGGCGTCTCGCAAAAATCTCGCAGATATCGCGTATCGCGCGGCGTTCTTGCGAAAAGTAGAATCTCCGAAAGCTCAAAAATATCAGGAGAGAGAACGTTTTCTTTCAGTAAGTCCCCCCCCCCCCTCGCTTTGTCATGAGATATCATCTGTACGTAGCGCTGCAATCCAGTCACCAGGACAAAAAAAGTGAAATGGTGACCGCTTCTTGGCAGAAAAGGTGACAAAAGTGACATCTCAAGCATTAAAATAATGACAAAAGTAACATTTCTTGTCATTAACCAATCTTAAGAACGCCAATATTTTGCAAATTTAACGACAGCTGAAGGAAAAGAGTGACTATAGTAATTGATTTTGGATAGCAAGATTTTTAGCGATTTGTCAAGAAAAAGTGACAAAAAGTGAGTTCAATGACTGGATAGTGGCGCTGTTTACACACGAAAATCTCGTATTTTTCTCCGATCGATTGTTTAGACGCGTCGTAATGCGAGAACAGATCCAACCCGGAAGCACTAATAAGCTTCGCTTAATAAGCGCAACTTGAATTGTTCGGGAGTTTTGAATCGTCAGCGCACCATCGTAATGACTCGTGCGGAGAAATGTGTGTCGCGACGCGTCACCTTCCAAAGTGAGCTTAAAGAGGGAGCGTAGACTAAGAAGACACTCGTCGATTTTCTATGGATCCGCTAGATATTTTGTACTCTCCCCCGTCGTGAATCATCGACGAGCGTCAAGAGCCGCGATCGTTAGTTGATGCAATTCAGTCCACGCATGACGAATTATTTCCTTCTGTCCTTAGAGCATAAGACACAAGCCTGTATATTTCGCTTCCGAATTTGTAATATAGTGGTTGACGATACGTGCGTGCGTGCGTGTGTGCCTGCGTAATGTGTAAGAGAGAGAGAGAGAGAGGGAGGCATTCGCGCTTAGAAAGGGAGAAGGATAAGTCGACGAGAGGACGAGGGTTATTCTGTCGTGCGAACGAAGGTAGGAATTACTTCGGTGTGATTCGTACGAAATTCGTCGCTGCGAATGGTGAACAAACTTCTCTTGCGTGACGTTTGAATCGAGTTAGGAGTAATATCACTAGCGTACGTAAGCTTTAGGGTAACGAGTCGATAGAGATATTTTACACGTAGCTGTATACCTACGATGACGAGTACGTTCAATATTTCAAGGTCGAGGCTGCACGGACGGGTGTCAGGTTGTCCCGCGTCTGCTCGCGTTGCTGCTTTTCTAGTCAGGCTCAAGTAAGACAGACAATTTTCGATGCTTTCGCAATCACATGGAACCCGATATCGACCCTGCAACGCGCGCGTTATCTGTCGTCAAGCGGTCCTCGCGGACTAGACCGAGGAATTATCTCCGCTCGCCCCGAAGATTTATTATTCCACACCTCCCCTGATGGAAATATTTCGCTGAAAGTATTATGAAAAATCAATATTACTGAATGTGCTTCAAAATGAATCGTAACTTTCCTCGTGAAATTTAACGTTATACTGTGAAAAATAAGTCAAATCATATTGTTAAAAAATAATGACAAATTTCCTAAAGTATTAGATATCATGAAACTTATAATGAATTTAACTGAAAACTGAAATTTTACTGACGGAATAATAATTAAATAAAGTCAATTCAGAGAGGATTTCAAATAAAATTTCATTATATTTTCAATAAAATATCCATCGGGATCGCGCGAGCTTGTCGGGATACATCTCGTTCGCTCGCAGATAACGTTTCGAAAGCGCCGACACGCACAAGTCGCGTGTGATCGTCGTGATATCTCTTGATATTGTATTATTAGATGGTCCGCGAGATAACATCTAAATTGCGCCCGCGAGATAAACCCGCTTGACTCTCGAAGGCGTAAATAGCGCAGAGACGATTACAAATGTGATTGTACGTTATTATTCATTCAACGATAGCGTGGACGTTTAATAAGCATTGAGGAAACACGTCCACGAGCTTACGTAAAAGGAACATCGCAATTTATGACACGTGGCACAGGGTTAATTGACACGCCAATTAGTGACGAATCTATGACGCAAAGGATTATTTCTCATTGTAATGCGCTACGGCTATACTAAATATTTTCTGGCCGGAAGGTCGTAATTTACTCGAATGTCTCTCACGATAACACGAAACTGGAGGGTTGCGAAGAGGAATGGAGGGAGGGAGAGAGAGAAAGACGGAGAGTAGGAAAGAGAGCAGAGAACCTTTTCGAGGAGGAGGCGACTTTTTGTCCTGCAGCCTGAGAATAATAGACTAACGATATAGCTTTAAGATGTTTGTAAGTTCTCTACCTTTGGGAAGGACGCAGCGCGCGTCCTGCCGTTTTATTCCCGACCGAACCGCAGCAGCAAAGTCAAACGGTAATCGCGCGAGAACGAGGACTCGATGTGTGTACGACGATGTGAGGCGACTTTGTACATAGTATGTATCATAGCTCAAACACAGATGTAAGTTATCCTCTCTTGAACTTAATAAATAACGACAATATACGAACGTAAAGAGAAAAACAAAAGAAGATGAAGAATCCAACAAGCACTTGTAACCGATTGTTGTTGTCTACGTTTATTTAATGAATGTACAGAGCTGGGCACACACGTACACACACACGCACATACATACAAAAATACATACATACACACACACACACACACACACACAGAATTTTGCCCCGCAGCAAAAGCAGCAGCAGCAATAACAGCAACGTTAGTGAACGGCAATTGCGTGTGTACGCACGATGGTGACGTCGATCGTCAAAGAAGAAAAGGTGGCGGCGGCGGAGAAAAAAGAAGAAATAGAAAAACGGCGGAATGAATAATCAAACCGCGCGATAGTTGGTCCAGTGATGTCACGTAATATCTATACGAATAAACGATGAATAAAGTCGACACTTTATTTGGATAAAATTATTTACATATTTTCTTTGCCACGCCCAGCTGTATACACAACCCGCCCTGCTCTCTTTTTGATCGTCGCGCCGCGATCTCTCGCGCGCCTCGCCGGAAATGCTGTACAAAATGCGCGGGCACGGCACAACGACGAGCTCTTTCTCGTAGATCGAAGTTTTTTTTCGTTTTATTACAAGTACATATATATTTTTTTATATGTGTATATATAATATATATAATATATAGTTAACATCGCGTTCATCTCAAAATTATACAATAAACTTTGTGCTGTACAAACAAGATGTGTTAGCGTTGTATGCAGAGATTTTACGAAAGTATCGAAACAGCGACGTTTAATAACCGATCTTCCCAGACACAATGGCGTTATACGAAAATATCCTTTTCTTTTTTTTTCTTTAAACTTTTCTTTTTTACCTCGTATATATAAAATACTATAATAAAATATTATCACTCGTCTCTCTGGTTTTTTTTCTCCCCCGTTGTGAGGTATTTCGATTTGTTCCTCGCGAGTTCACGACGGTCTGCGCACGCCTTTCCCGATGAAGTTGGGAGCGTGTCAAACGGTTATGATTGCGAGCTTGTGCAATAATCGCTTATGACAGTGATCGGAGTGACGGCATACGAGACGTCCGTCACGACTGCAACGGAGGATTCGCGAAAAATGCAAGTATTTTTATTATATTTCTATCTATCTATCTGATAAGAGTATAATAAAAAGCGCTATTCACATTGTGTAGAGTCATTCGATTTTTACCGTAACCGATTAACTGCGCAAGTGGGTGGTGGATCATGTGATGGCCGCTGCCAACTTCATCGGGAGGAAATATGTACAAACGAGCGTCGTGCTGAAATGATCTCAAGAATTATACGTTGAACCGCGCCAATGTTTTTCTTCCTTTTCGAAAATCTATCGAGAATAGACATGAGTCCAACGGTATCGTATCAAAATAATCATATATGTATATATATATATACATGTATGTGTATGTATAAATAAGGGATTACTACTCTCGTACGAAAGACCAAGAAAACATGGTGTCAGGCTAACAACAATTATTCTAACATTCACTGCCAGGTCGTGCGTCGAGCTCTATGTATTAGATTCCGACGTGAAGGGTCGGGAGGGGAAAGTACTTGTCTCTGTGGCAAACACGTCTGCACTTTGATCACGACTGACGACGACACGAGGAAAAACTCGCGAGAGAGACGAGGCATGCGCGCTTTGCCTCGCTCTCTTTGGAAAAAAACAAGAAGAAAGAATATGAAAGAAAATGTAAAAGTAAGAGAATATGAGAGAAAATGTAAAAGTAAGAGAATATGAAAGAAAAAGAAAAACATTTATCATCTTACAAAGCGTAAGTATTCTATCACATGTTATAGGCGAATAACACTGACGGTAGAATGACGTTAAAATTATTGTTGCGCGTTTAAAGCTTTCCGCGCGATGCGGCGTCCCTCGTTGGTGCACCACCACTTACACCCTGTAGCCTCTACGATGCTCGTTCTTTATGGAATTCGCCAGGCAGAGCGCGAAGATAATGCCGACCAGCTGAAAAGCAGTGGAGAATTTTTTTTATGCGGATATCGCGCGAGTTACGAGCCGCTAACGAGAATCGTCGTTATTGTCACTTTTCCTTCTTCAGAATGTCTACTTAAATACGAAAAAAAAAATTTCCCGAGAATTTCCTGATTTTTTCCAGGCATGAACAGGTTCCCTGCGAATTCCAAGTTCTCCAAGTTTTTCCAGGTAATAAGACACCCTATTCTTCTTCTCTTTATCATGATCACATTTTGGAACTTTTGTTTCTAGAGATGGAATTATTCCTCTTCGACTTTACCTTGTTCTCCCTTTAAGAGTTCTTACCTCAACCGCGGCGACACCCAGAGCGATACCACCCAACACCGCTCCCAAGTACTGGAAGGAGTCCTGTAGCTTAGATGCGCAACCTGGCCTGGTTTGAGCGTTTATAACAGGGCAGACGGAATTTTCCGCACCACCGCAGCAAGACCACGGTATAGGGCTCCTTACTAGGCGTCCGTAATCGCTGGCGCCGTCCACACCGCAACATTCCAACTGTAAAAGAGCTTTCCGTCAGGAGATCCAGATTTATTTGCGAAACTATTAATGTACCCATGTCGGACTTGTCCAAGTTCATTATAGTTGATCACGTTCGGCCGTTGAAGATTTGATCGACATTGTGCACGCGCGCGCGTGTGTGTGTGTGTATGTGTGTAACGCATGTCGCAGCCCGCACACATGGCAATGCGCTCTCTTAAGTCGAATCAGTGAAAATGTCACTGATTGAACCAGTAAAACATTGGCTAATACAAAAGCTGTATCCCGAATCTATGTCGTCAATTCTAGTTAATTTTGTGCCGTTGATCACAAATATAACAAATAAAATCAAAACGTAGCTCTAATTTCGATTATGTAATAAATAACAATCGAAGGGGAATTGGATACTTGTGGAAACAGCCGTTATTAACAGACTTTTTCAATGAAATTTTATTGATTTGCGATGCTATATTTATAACTGGTCACCAGTGACTACCGACTGTTTCTCAGTGATAATATACTGATTGTACTTTAGAGAGAGCGTGTATAATAAAAAATGAAATCCTCCCTCAAGAGGCGAACTTACGAGAGTCTGAACTTCGTTTACTACATTTCGGCTCTCCTCGCTGTCATCGTACTTCTTGAAGATTTCGTCCGCGTACACATCCCTAATGCTTTTCTTGATATCGTCGTTCTTCAGCACAACGAATGCGTAGATCGCAACTGCTACTTGTATGATCAGGATCGTCAGCAGCAGAGATGCAAACTGTCGCAGAAAAGACAGCGGTGAGTCGCCTCGGTCATTCCCCGACAGATGAAACACCAGATGCGACGGCAAGAAGCAACTCTCGAGCGCGAAAATTCCGTGAGAATCCCGCGCGTTTATAAATACAATGAGAACCTATGAAGTGTCCATCTTTGTGTTCTAATTTTACAGAGAGACCACTTCAAGTTTCAATCGCGCAGAGACTCGTCAATTTACAAACACGAGCGATTCCAATTTACCCTCGCGCTTCGTGTCTTAATTAATCGACGTCGCTCGGCGCGTTCGTGCGCGAATTAAGACCCGAGGATTAAGATCCGACTTCGCCGAGAGTTGCGTAATAAAACGAAGTTTGCCGGCGGACTTACCGTCACGGTCATGCAGTGGCTCTCGCGAATCGCTCCACAGCATCCGAAGAAGGCGATGACGAAAATTATACTGCCGATAACGATCAATGTGATCGACGGGAACGTCACATTCTCCTTAATAGCGTCGGCGAAGTGCGTCAATTTCATGTGCGCCAGGACACCCAGGACCAGTATCGCCAGACCACATAGCTGCAATGAAACATCCTCGTATTTGCATACCGTCATCATGCATCATCGGACGTCTCCGATATTCTATTTCTCTTCTTCTATTACTTAAGGAGGTTGTAAGGGAAAGCTTTGGAATATTTTACAGATATACTCAGTCAATCAGAAGTTTCACGGACACATCTTTTTATTTCGACGTATTCCGCAGGAATTTTTCCCGACATACGTTTTCTCGTTTCTGACGTCATTAATCACCAATGACCGCGACGAAGAAACAGGAGCTTTAACGAAGTGTTCAACGAAGCTACTTTTCCACGTTAGGCGTGAACGATCGTTTTCAATGACGAAGCGAGAATTCTGCGAATGATGAGTGATGGCGGCGGAAAAGCGGGAAAGTTCTCACGACAAAGTTGTACAACACACATACACACAAAGTACGATAGCTACATAAATGACACAAATAATACAACAGATTAGTTACAATCGATTATAATTTTAAAAGCTCAGAAAAACAGTTTTTCCAAATATTCCGCAGATTTTTCTGGTTTATCTTCTATGTGGAAAAAAAGTAAATATAACAGATTTTAACAAAACACGTGCATTTTTCTAAGCGAGTTTTTTTTACCCTTGAGATGGAAGTCGAAGAAATCCGTGGAAAATTGGGGAAAAACCGTTTCTTTGCCAGATTTTGAAACTATATAATCGATATAACAGGTATACAGAGCATAACAAGTAATCAGGCATTTATTATACAAATTAGTTGGCAAAGAAGCGACGAAAACGTGCGTTAGAGGCGTGTTACAGTTGATCATAGTGAGTTGATTTCACAGATTGCGCTACAATCAGCCTGCGAGATGCGTTTATACGCGATATTTTATAAGCGTTGAGTAAAATTCGCCGCTTGTAGTTGCACATAGTTTTAAATAACGGAATATGCAGGATTGATAACAGTAAGGTCGCATGTGCGACTTCCGTTCGCAAGTATTATCGCGGTTTTTTATCCACGCTAATTGCCCGTCGGTCGCAGGTCGTGCCGCTGTCGTAGTGCCAAACGTGCGTTCACAACATTGTTGCCTAACAGTTCGCGAGCAGAAAATAGACGAGACGTTCTCCTAGGATAGCGCGTTCGGACGCACGATTCCCAGATATCTGGAAATATCGTCCTTGAAGCGCCCTACGCGCTATTTTTACACGTATTGCTGCGCCACGTGGTCGCTGGTCGATCCTGAGATCATCACAGGTGGAAGTGCACTTAACCGGCACGTAAATACGAGACGGAGCGAGAACGAGCGAATACTCTAAGTGTGTTTGCGATCGATCACCTTTAATAATTTCCACTTCTAGTTTTCTGAACGCCCGGAGTGTCGCAACGTGCGGTAAAAGATGCAGGGGAAAGAGCAGCTAAAGCTCGACGATGGCAAGGAATAATGGATAATAGCATAATGTACAGAAAAAGTATTTGCATGCGTGTACTCAGTCTGGGACGATCTTATGCGGCATGGAAGATATATGATGTTCGGAAGCTCACTCAAAAGCTTGAGTCATAATAGAAGGGGAATAAGAGCCTACTGAGTGAGATTCCATTCAAATTACAGCCAATTTCAGCCTATATCTTTTTCTAGATTAGAACCTAAAAATAATAGTAGTACATATGCATGTAAATAATGCATATTATTATCACTGGTATTATAGTAACACTTGCTGGAAAAACGGTTCTTCTGAATAATAATTCTTTCACTTGTGTGATTATACTTACAAATGCTAAACATTTTTTTCTCGATGTGTACACACACGGACTTTATATAGTGCGATAAACAAAATTAATTTTTCACGTTGATCTAAATTAATTGATCTAAATTAGTTTGAACAAAGTAAAAACAGCTATATACAGGCTGATACTGCGCTTTTCGTCGCTCTTAACATAACGTCTTCAGTACTTTTAAACTCTGTAACCATTAACGTCCAATAAAAAAAACATTATTATTATTATACTCATTTATTTGTTCAGAAACTTCTATATCCCGAACCGAAACCTCTTCAGTGGACTAATAATAATACTACGTTAAAACTAGTTACATCTATCAATAGTCGGGAAAGAATATAGGCTATCATTGGCCCTCTCTTATTATTTGATTGGATCTCAACCGAGTTGTTCATACAGTTATTTTCGAGTCATAAGCCCGTTCCTCGAACACCTGGTATCGATCTTCGAAGCGTCGAATGCGTCATCTGTTTACGTTCTTAATTATCGGAAATTTTTTTCCTTTTCTTTTAATGTGTGCTGCCGATGATAGCCGAGTATACATCGCGTGGTTGGGAAACACTGCTGCGATCATTATTGCCGCGGGGTATCGAAATGATGTGCGTCAAGCCAATGTAGGCAAGAATGCGTGTACGTATAGGATACGTGAATGTGTGCGTATGTGCGTGCGTTTGTTTGTCCGCGGAGATGACATCATCGCATCCACAATCTCGTCCTCGGGACCCACTTCCTCGGAGATTACGTGTGCTCGGCGACCGTCGCTTTCACGAGAACGATTTCCGTAGCGACGAGTCCACGAAATTCAATGCAATACACGCCGTGCTCGAGGAGATCGTGGACGCGAAATTTTCGAAGGATATCAAGCCACCTTGATCTACTTTTTGTCTCCGATTAACGACAATTGTATGTTCGGTCGGTGTCATATATGCGATACCATTCCCTAGATCGCAAATTAGATAAGTTTTAGATAAGTTACATAAGTTCGCAACCGTTCCAATTAGAATTATTATAAGCTTGTCATTGTAATTGGAGTTATTTATGCAATTTCCAACTTAATATAATTATGTAATTATGTAAACATGTAATTACGTAATTTCAACTAATTTTATATAAGGTTGAAAACTTGAAATAAGGTGTAATTTTCCGTCTAGAAAATATCTCATTGCGTTTTTATCGTTAAATGCGCACCATGGGTGCTACTGCGACTTGAAGCAGAATGGAGAGAAATTTTGGTGCGGTTATCACACGGCGATCGATAAGATACGAATATTGATCGAGGAGCGAGGACAGCATGTTGGCCAAGGCGAAATATTGAATAATCTCTGCTCATGTCTAACGAAAGATCGAAAACGCATGATTTACTTCGTTATATAATTCGTTGTGCGAAAGTATGGGCGATCGGCGTTGATTGCGTTTGCGAGATAATAGTGATAACAATGACAAAAATACGGGTGATTTGTAATACCGAGAATTTGTAATACAGAAGCGAAATGTTGGAATCTTTATCTCCACCCTTCTTCTCCCCTTAGCTCTCGTGATAAATCTCCATATTAAATAAAAATATCCCGAACATAACGCGCAGATAACAGAGGAGCGATAATGTATCGAACGTGGACTTGTGATATCTTGTTATATTATTGGTGGAACAAATAAAACCGGAAGCAACAATATCAGAATATGGAGATGTGCAAAATCGAGATATACGATTTGGAATTTAAAGTACACTTCGCGTCATCTTCCCTCCGCGTACCGCATCCAGCGATTACACGCGTCGACTGATCTGAGCGGTAATTTTTTCGATATATAGTTTCATTTCTATTTTGTCATTTCTCGTTTCCTCGGGAAGTACATGAAACCGAGAACGAAATATTATGGGCGTTCCAAGTTACACCAAGCTTAATAAATATCCCGACATTGCGACACTATGTGTGTAATCACACTCCGCACGTGTCGTGATAATTGCGGAAAATGATACATCAGGGAATCCCTGACGACATCATCGGCTTAATAGCGTCGGAAAGTCTGATAGAGGAAATTGCAGCTAGTGCTTAATAGTCTTGATGTATCCTACATAGAGAATAAAATTTCATCACACCATCTTGTTTGAATGAAAATATTGTTTCATTAAAGTAAATTATGTGGTTTGATAGAAGAAACTATCATATAAAGGAAGTAATATTTCATGATCAATATAAAAAAATTTATTTTATTATATATCAAATATTGTTCCATTGAAATAAAAATTTTTTTTATATTTTTCTAATGTGGGTACTTTTTTCAAATAATATATTGCTTGTGACAATCACTGTAATGTTTGAATGAAAATATAAAAGAAATATGTTATTTGACGTAAAGAGATATTTAATGTTTGAAAAACCAAACAATTTTATCGTTAAATCAAACATTCATTTGTTTCTTCCATTCTAAAAGGTATTTATTTCAATTAAAGAAATTGTATTAAATCCAAAGGAATCTTTTTCTCTGTGTAATACATAATGCAGCAAATCCGAATGTGTTGCGAAATATACGGGAATAAGTGCAGGAAAACCACACGAGTGTCTAACCGGAAACTACATAGCTCAATTCCGTGAGATAAATAATGAAAGGAAAACCGTAATCGTCATCGTAATCTCAATCGTCCGGCCGTTCTCAAAATCCGGTTTTCAACCATTATCAACCGATAAATAATTTATCCTTCTACTGGCATTAAAAATAACGATTATGCTGAGCCAAAAATATCTTTACACGTGACAATGGAAATAATTCTTGAAGCTACAATAGCCAGCGTTGAACATTGAAGAAAAGAAAAGAAAAATTGCACGATTGAATACCGACTCTATTTCCGTACATCTACTTCCGATGGTTTCTTGATCAGAGGGCTAACGATTCGTGTAGTATTAAGACTCCTCCTGCTCCTTACTTGGTTTAATTAAAAGAAAAATTTACAGGTTTTTAGGAAGAAAATACGGATTTTTTAGTGCCATTAGTTAATCTTGTCAGTATTTAATACATATTATAGAAAGATTAGATCCTCCTCCCACAATACATGTTAATATTAATATCTAATGGCACTAAAAATGTGCTTTGCTTCTAAAGGCCTGTAAAATTCTTCCGTGTAGTTTCACAATACCGAGTAGTAGTTCGCGACTCGATAAATGCGACTGATCAATCCGCGCATTTAATAGCGTAACGCGATAAAAAAAATTTTGTAACGTAATCCGGAGGATAGAATTTAAGATACAAATAAAACTAGGCGCTGACA